CGGTGGATTCGACGAAGGAGCGTCCGGAGGGCTTGCGGCAACCACATGTGACGACCCCGGGCTGGACTCTGCTTCGTCCACGGTGAAAGCCGATCCGGCGATCGACAGCGTGAAGTTGTAGTATTCCCTCAGCGACCAGCACGGATCAGCTCCAGGCATGACGAAGCAGATATAGTCCTCTTTCGGAAGACCAAACAAAGTAGTTGCTTTCACAACGAAACACACAGCTTCTTCACGACATGGCGGCGGCGGCGGCAACAACAATACTACAGCGAGAATAAAAGTTACGCCTTCTTTCTTTGTGTGAACATTTGGGCGGCGTTATGCAAATCTTCCCGCATCGTGATGTAGATATGTGGGGGCGTGTTAGAACGAGCCGTTTTAGGTAGGTGTGGCTGACTCTTAACTTTTATAAAGAATAACTCTTTGGATTTGAGACTTTAGTTTTTGCAACTTTACAGATTTCTTTCAGACTGTCTTTCCAAATTTTGAATTTCTTTCTGGACATTTTCGAAACGCACACATTTTTACAACTTCTCTTACAAACATTTTGAAGCTTGTGAAATGTCCTTTTGATCTTCTAACCTTCTTTTGAACTCTCATTTCAACCTTATTTTGAAATTTCTCTCTAACCTTTGTACTTAAAATTTCAAATTTCTTTCCACCTTTCAAACGTTCTTTTCCAAACTGTGAGTTTGTGAGTTCTGAATATTCCTCTTTTTAATTGTCATCGCAGCTGTTTTTTCATTTGTCGAGAGAGCGTGTATTTTCGGAGGATAGAACCCGTTTCTACGGCGCTGAGATCGTTTCTGCGTTGGATTACTTGCACTCTGCAAAGATTGTTTACCGTGACCTGAAGGTGAACACTGAACAGAACACACAGACTAATATCAACATTTTCATCCTATGAACCTCAATTTTTGCCATTATCAGCTGACCGTAAGATGTGTCTATGATCGGTGTGTTATTCCAGCTGGAAAACCTGATGTTGGATAAGGACGGTCACATAAAGATCACTGATTTCGGCCTGTGTAAGGAGGGCATCACAGACACGGCCACCATGAAAACGTTCTGCGGGACCCCGGAGTATCTGGCCCCTGAGGTACGGGATGTTTTATCTCTTTAAACGCACACACGCTGGGTTCAGTTTAATATAGAGGACTGTTTAATCTCCGTCTGTCACAGCCGGAACAGGGTCACACTTTAGCTAGCGTCCGCACAGAAATAGACACAAACAGCAGGCTGTAGACAAGACAAGACTGAGCAGCTCACGGGTAAAAATAGAGGGAACGTAACAGTGACCCGCTGGCTGTTTAAGCTCCATTTTAATAATCACATAAAGTACAGCATGTATAATCAACCGTGGTGTTGCATATGGATGCTGTAACGCCGACGACTCGTGCTGATGTCATGATCATAACTGTGTGATGGAATCATATGTCAGGCTGTTTTTCCATCATTGGAGTCATTTATCCAGGTTGCATCTACTGATGCTGCAATAATGATTGATTATTGATGTTGGTATTGGAGGAAAGCCTGCAAATGACTGCCAGTAGTAATTAATCAAGCACTCGGAGACAATTTGACATTATTGATCAGGTTTTGAGAGATGATATAACTGTTTCTGGATCAGCCGTCAGGTATCTGAGGATAATAACTCAGCTGTCAGAGACTGATCATGGATCAGATATGTCCATATTTTTTGAGCAGGTATTGGAGGATAATGGCATTATTGATGAAGAATGGGAAGATATTGGTGGTGGTTTGTGATCAGTTAATGGAGGATAATATTATTGTTAATGAAGAATTGGAGGATATGTGATTTTGATTGATTATTAAGGTCCTTGATTTTCATATGTGTTTTTTTTTTTTCATATTCGTCATCCTTTCCTATCAAAATGCTTGCTACGGATGCGAAAACGCAGAAAATCAAACCTGATCCAATTTATTTTATGACGGACAAAAGTTTTGGAGGCAGTGCGTAAAAGTGATTGACACAATGTGAGGTCGTATTTATTTCTTAACGTGCGAAAAATTCGGACGAGATTTCGGACTTTGTGCAGAGACCTTTAGAGACTAATAGAATTATTAGGGATATTCATGTGATTTTTTTTTTTAAATATCGATTATTAGAGAATAATATAATTATTAATGAATTGGGAGATATTCATGTGATTTTTTTTTTAAAATATCGATTATTAGAGACTAATATAATTATTAATGAATTGGGAGATATTTTTGTGATTTTTGATAGGATATTGGAGGCTAATATAATTATTAATAAATAATTGGAAGATATTCATGTGATTGTGTTTGATAATTAGAGGCTAATATAATTGATGTGGAATTGGATAATATTAATATGATTTTTGATCTGTTATTGGAGACTAATATAGTTATTAATGAAGGATTGGAGGATATTCATGTGATTTAAAAAAAAATGGATTATTAGAGACTAATATAATTATTAATGAATTGATATTTTTGTGATTTAGTTTTTTTGATAGGATATTGGATGCTAATATAACTATTAATACATAATTGGAAGATATTCATGTGATTGTTGATCGCTTATTAGAGACTAATTTAATTATTAATGAATTGGGAGATATTTTTGTGATTTTTGATAGGATATCGGAGGCTAATATAATTATTAATAAAGAATTGGAAGACATTCGTGTGATTGTGTTTGATTATTAGAGGCTAATATGATTGATGTGGAATTGGATAACAGTATGTTTTGTGATCTGTTATTGGAGACTAATATAGTTATTAATGAAGGATTGGAGGATATTCATGTGATTTTGCTTGATTATTAGAGACTAATATAATTATTAATGAAGAATTGGAGGATATTTATGTGATTTTGCTTGATTATTAGAGACTAATATAATTATTAATGAAGAACTGGAAGATATTGATGAGGTTTATGTAAGGTATTATAAAATAATGTGATGTGATTGTTAATCAAGTGTTATTGGGTATAGCATTTGTTGGAGGTGAAATTATAATGACTTATTGCTGCGTCTCTTGATGAAGGTGTGCAGGCGAGTGATGTATTGGTTATTGATTAGGCGTTTGAGAATGATGTGACGTTATTCATGAGCACAATGTGTTGTAGTTTTGGTATGATTGATCAGGTATCTGCGTGCACTGGTTTTATCGATCAGGTATTGGAGGACAATGATTACGGGAGAGCGGTGGACTGGTGGGGTCTGGGAGTCGTTATGTATGAGATGATGTGTGGACGCCTTCCCTTTTATAATCAGGTATGACTCACTCTAACACTAACAACACTATAATAAACAGTTCATCTGTAGGATTTTTTAAATGCTTTTAAAAGCCTCTTTTGCTCACCAAGGCTGCATTTATTTGATCAAAAATACAGTATAAACAGTAATATTGTGAAATATTATTACAATTTAAAATAACTGTTTTCTTTGTGAATATACGTTAAAGTATAATTTATTTCTGTGATCAAAGCTGAGTTTTCAGCATCATTACTCCAGTTTTCAGTGTCACGTGATTCTTCAGAAATCATTCTAATATGCTGATTTGCTTTTATAAATTTTTTTAGTATTCACTGATGAATAGAAAGTTCAAAAGAACAGCATGTATTTGAAATATAAATCTTTTGTGACCTAAATTTCTGTACTGTTTTCAGGACCATGAGAAGCTGTTTGAACTGATTCTGATGGAGGAGATCAAGTTTCCCAGAACCCTCTCTGCAGACGCCAAGTCTTTACTGTCTGGATTACTCATCAAAGACCCCAATAAGAGGTCGGTGTGTGAATGTGTGATCCAAAGCCTTTCTGGGTGTGTTTGTTTCTACTAACAACTATTGACATCATCATCATTTCAGTATGAGAGCACCAGATTAAAACTGTTTGTGTATCATGTGAGACCTGAGTAAATATTATTCTGCGGTTTATTCTCTGAAGGCTCGGAGGAGGCCCGGATGATGCAAAGGAAATCATGAGGCACAGTTTCTTCACTATGCTGCACTGGCAGGACGTCTATGACAAAAAGGTATAAGTGTACTTACAATGGGGCGAGAGATTTTCGAGTTCGAAAGCAGAAACGTAACACTATCGTTTAGGAGTCTGGGGTCAGTAAGAATTATTTGAAAGAAATTAATACTAAATTAATTAATATTAATTAATTAATACTAAAGACCATTATAATGTTACATAAGATTTCTGTCTCAAATAAATGTATTTTATATTCATCAGAGAATCCTGATAATCACAGTTTCCACAAAAATATGAATCTGTTTTCAACACGGAAAATAATCAGAAATGTTTCTTGACCATCAAATCATTATATTGGAGTAGGGCTGTCAAAATTGCTGAAAAACTAAATTCGAATTTTGTACTTAAATATTATCAATATTCAAATTTAAAAGGCTAATTTCATATTGGTGGAAAAAAAAGCTTTTGGTTTCTCTCTTGAGGCCACAAGAGGGCGCATTCAGCAAAATATTACTAATGCACATTTCTTTAAAGCAATAAAATAACACGACTACCTTTGAAAAAAGTGCATAATGTTTAAATTAATGTTTATAAATCATATATAATTCATTAAGTTACTTAAAAATTAGAAACAAAACAGCATCATGTTTGTATGCATAGTTTAATACAAAGGGCCGAAAACCAATCACAAAGAGTACTTTTTCATTTAAAAACATGAGATGCAGTAGGATGGGGAAAAACCGTCATAAAGTCTCGAGACATGTTTTTTTAAAGGGGTCATATGATGCGATTTCAAGTTTTCCTTTCTCTTTGGAGTGTTACAAGCTCTTGGTGCATAAAGAAGATCTGTAAAGTTGCAAAGACTAAAGTCTCAAATCCAAAGAGATATTCTTTATAAAAGTTAAGAGTCAGCCACGCCTACCTAAAACGGCTCGTTCTAACACGCCCCCACACTGTAAACCCGAACAGTACTACTAACTTATAAAGATTAAGAACACTGCAATTAAAGTCTGTTAAATCGTTGATGCAACTTATA